GTCAATCCGAAGGTGTAAATCTATGAATCGAGTAGGGTCGATCCGAAGGTATAAATCCATGGATTGGGCAGGGCCAATCCGAAGGTGTTATCGTGAATCGAGCAGGGTCGATTCGAAGGTGTCCGTACGTTTATCGGGCAGGGTCAATTTGAAGGTTTCAGTACGTTTATCGGGCAAGGCCGATTTGAAGGTGTCAGTACGTTTATCGGGCAGGCCGATCTAAAGGTGTCATCGTGAATCGAGCAAGGTCGATTCGAAGGTGTAAGTACGTTTATCGGGTAGGGCCGATCTGAAGGTGTCATCGTGAATCGAGCAGGGTCGATTCGAAGGTGTACGTACATTTATCAGGCAGGGCCGATTTGAAGGTGTCAGTACGTTTATCGGGCAGGGATGATTTGAAGGTGTCATCGTGAATCGAGCAGGGTCGATTCGAAGGTATACGTACGTTTATCGGGCAGGGCCGATTTGAAGGTGTCAGTACGTTTATTGGGCTAGGCCGATCTGAAGGTGTCATCGTGAATCGAGCATGGTCGATTCGAAGGTGCAAGTAATTCATCGACTGGGGTCGGTTTGGAGATGAAAAACTTCTAAATAGTACTTCGTTAAATATTTGGCCATGAGGCCGACTGTCTAAGAGGAGGTGGATAGGCCCACTCATCCTTTTTAAAATGAAGAAAAAGAAAAACGAAAAAAAGCAAAGTTTACCTAGTAGTAGTAGCATTTGAGGTGAATGACATTTTAACTGTTGTTGATGTCTTTACCCTCGGGGGTCTAGAGTTTGTAGGCGCCCTTCCCTGCTGCTTTGATTATCTTGTAGGGGTCTTCCCAGGTGGGACTGAGTTTGCCAGAATTTATCTCCTTGGTGTTTTGGAAGACCCTACAGAGGACCCAGTCGCCTATCTTGAAAGTATGGATCATCACGTTGCGGTTATAATGTCGGGCGGCCTGTTGTCGGTAAACTGCATTGCGGATGCTTGCCCGTTCCCGTAGCTCGTCCACGGTGTCTAAGTTCTGGCAGAGGTTGTGACTGTTTGATTCCTCGTCCGCCCATTGGAGCCTGGTGGACGGAACTGATACTTCAGCTGGGATGACTGCTTCAGAACCGTATGTGAGGGAGAAAGGGGTTTCGCCCGTTGATGAGCGAGCCGTGGTTTGGTACGACCAGAGGACTCCGGGTAGCTTGTTTGTCCATATTGCGTGCTGGAGGTTGGTAGCGGTGCTCTACCGGTCCAGGCTCTAGCTTCCTGTCACTCCGCCTTGATTCGTATCTGGAATGAGCAACTCGGTTCATCTCATCTTCCTCCCATCTTATCTGGATAACTGCCCAGGCCAGAGCGTCTTTCATTGTGGTGCAACCCAGCTTCCTAAGTTCTTTGTATAGTTCTCCGTCCGGAATGAGGCCTTTCCTGAAAGCTTCCACAACAGTCTAGGGGTCACATGAGGGGATAAAGATCTTTTCTTTATTGAATCTGCCAACATATTCTCTCAATGGCTCTCCCCTTCTCTGGTATATTCGGTATAGGTCGGCCGACAGTTTCTCTAGTTTCTTACTATTGGCGAACTGTTCCACGAAGGTGTCGGTAAACTAGGTGAATGAATCGATGGATCCGTTCGGGAGGTTTGCGTACCATTGGAGTGCCGGGCCGGACAAACTAGAATCGAAACTTTCACACATGCAGGCTTCCCTAAGCGGTTGGGTATTGAGATTGTGAACATCCGCTGCTTGTACGAGGCTATGTGGTCATCTGGGTCGTTGGTACCATCGTACGGTTTCATGTTAGGGATGGTGAATTTCTGGGGCATGTCAGCCAGGGTGATCTCATCCACAAAGGGTGAATCAGCGTAACAATGGGATCTGCTCTTCTTGTTTGGGATCGGCATTCCTGGAATGCATCTCATCACTGCCTCTACATCAGCCAGTCTCTTGGCCAATACTTGTTCCATAAGAGAGGGGGATACTACCGGGTCATCCCGTCTTACTAGGTCTGCTACTGCATTCGTTCTTGGCATATTCCATTAGGTCATCCCTCGGGGGGCAATCTGATAGATCATTCCGTCGTGCATTCCTTGGTAGCATGGATCTTTGTTCATCCCTTCCGGTTGGATGACTCCCATTGTCACTGTTCTATTATTCCGCCCTACATGAATGGTCAGGGGAGTCGACTGGTAGTCGTTCAATCTGTCAGGATGGATGAGCTCGAGTGCTGGAGTTGGTTTGGTTTGGCCATTCAACCCGCGAGAGTGAGCCGAGCCGAATGGGGTTTGTGTTTGGGTTGTTGACTGGAGGTGGAGCGGGACGGTAAGGATGGGCTGGTCTTGCGGATGTGGGCTTTCTGTTATTGGATTGCCTTGGTCACGAGGTTGAGATGGGTCGGCTGGATGGTGTTCTGCTGGCATATCTTTGTCTCCATTAGTCAAAACGGAGTCGTCGAGTAGCAGTGCACTTAACAGATGCGGCCCTTTATCGGAGACCGAGGGCCGATGCTCTAGTGTAGAAAGAGGTTGCATGGATGGGATAGGGGCGCGAAACCGATTGTGGGCTACTTGGTTGGGCAAGAATTCGAGATCATAGAATTGACTCACCTTCTCTTTTAGAGACTGGTTTTCAGTCTTAATGGATGCGTTTTCGGTCCGAATTGCATTATTCTCAGCTTCCAGTGCGGCCACCTTGTCTGAGTTTTGTTGCATGAGAGAGGTCAAAACGTCCAGTCTGGCCTCGAGGCAAGGGTTAACGTTGTCGGGATTGTCAGCCATGGAATGTTCCTCCACGTAGCAAGGTTTGTCGAGCCGAATGATTGCTAGAGGCCCCACGGTGGGCGCCAAAATATAGACGTAAAAATCTACCTGTACGGAAGGGGGGTCTGATCCTGTGAGGTTGAGGCCACTAGCGATCTGCTGCACTTGCACACGTAGAGAAACACACGCGTGAAGCGAATGGAAAACACCGGGGTGGTGTTTGCCGTAGGCACTCCGACGCTCAAGTCAGCAAGGCTGAAAAAGGCTAGTACAGTGAAGGCTAGGGAATAGAAAGGTTACCGGAAGTCTAGTCGGAGACTGTGACTACGGCGGCGATGTAAAGCTCTCAAGTAGGAGCTTCGGGTGTGAAGGTGTAATGTAGTATAATCTCCCTTTGTGAGAGGGTTGGCCTCTGCTTATATAGTGACTGTCTGGTCTCCCAATCCTAGTAGGAGTAAGAGTCCTAACGTGACTCTGATGCAAAACCTAGAAGAATTAGGGCCGTGGTATGCTCTCTTATCAGCGTCCGGATAGGAAGGTGATTCTGATTAGGAGAGTAACTCCGAGTAGGAAAGTGATCAGGAATAGGAAGGTGACCTTGAATGGGAGATTGATCAGGAGTAGGAAAGTATTCTGAGAGGGCTGTGAGTCATATCAGGATTGGGCCTGGCTTCTTCTTCAGTGTCGGGCCCATTTTCCTATTTGGGTCAAGGACGATTTTTGGCCCTAACATTTGGTATGCCTTATTTGAGTTGTGCTTTTACGAAAATTTTGTTCTAATATTAATTTACCAAAAGGGGGTTTTAATATATAAGAATAGATCAAGAGAAATTTAAAAGATTGATTAGGGATATTTTTAAAATTTTTAACATTTTTAATAAGGTCAAAAAGAGCTTATGGGCTTTTCCCAAAAGTCATAAAATAGCTTTTTTTTTTTTTTTTTTTTTTTTTTTTTTTTTTTTAATAACGATATATTTTTTTGAAATGTAACCAACAACCTAAAAAACAAATAATAATAAATAAATGCTTATATGTTAAAAAAAAAAAAAAAAAATCTTAGATTTAACCTATTTCTGTGTTTCAAATTGATTGGATTTATCTATGTATCTTTGAATAAAACTTGTAATGAACCTCTCCAATTAATATAGGAAAATATTGTAATTCAAATATCATTAAATAAAATATCTTTATACTATATGCATTTATTATAATTAAACAATCAATAATAACTATATATAATAAATTTTATTAAATATATATATGGCAAAGTAATCAATTTTATGGTGTGTATTTATTCTTTCAAAATCTTTGAATGCGTTGTACTTTTCTCAAACTTGAGGAGGAAATTGTTATAAACTCATGTTTCAAGGCTATAAGGCCCTACACGTATGTTGGCTAATTGGGGGTAACGTTACTAACGTAATTGAGTTTTTTACTTCATGTTTTTTTTTTTTTTTTTTCTGTTTAGAAAATGAAAATGAAATATTATATCTACCATACAATAGAAATGAAAATATAAGTATAAAAAAACATGTTAGTGAACAACACACCTTTATTTAAACCAAACTTGAGTGATCGAGTGATTCAATAGGAACTCTTAAATGTAATACTCAAGAGGTTTTGAATTCGAGTTCTTCCTCGGTTGTTAATAAGGGTGACCATGTAGCTTTTACCCGGCTAATAATTCTAAAGTCCCGAAGAATTAGATGAATTGTGTGTAAGTGGACCCGGACATCCTGTTCATTATATATATATATATATATAAACCTTATTTGTTAGATACGTGTTTCATTTCCCTTCCTTAGCCATGCTAACATGATTTTTTTTTTTTTTTTTTTTTATATTAACGATTGAAATTTAGATTAGCAGTATTAAAGAGATGAATAAGATAATATTTTATTTGAAATAAGCTTTCAGAGCTAAAATATGTTACGTTCAGCAGGAGCAATTACGAAAGTAATCTGGAAATGTAATATCTATTTCAACTGGATAAGTCATGCCATTCGGGTATTTATTAGACAACACCGAAATTTCAGTTATATCTGGCTACTCTCCATGCGAGGCTTCGTAACTAGAACTTTCCATCAGTGTCGATGAACTCGATCTGTCACTCTCGAGTGTCGATATCAATACAAATTGTCATACTAACTACTGTATATTTGTCGATACGTTAACGAGATGACGACGGCAAAGACGTGTGTGGTTTTGTGTACTAAGGGCCAGTACGTCTTAGAATAATCCTAAGTTTTCTTGACCCTCAATTCTTGTACTCTATATATTGATCTCAATCTCAAGAAAGATAGGCATCAAATTCATACTAAACGAGAAGTTCATAAGCTTTGTTTTTTCAGCCATTATCGTCTTCGTTGCTTCATCTTTTCGCTTGTGTGAATATGGGCAGTGAAATTCCTGATCAGCTTCGCATGTTCCTTTTTCCTTTTTTGGCTCATGGTCACATGATACCAACTGTGGACATGGCCAAGCTTTTTGGAAGTCGCGGCGTGAAAACCACCATAATCACCACTCCAGCCAATGCGCCTCTCATCTCAAAATCCATTCGGAAGAATAATGATTTGGCTACTGAAATTGATTTCAAGATCATCAATTTTCCTTCTGTGGAGGCTGGTTTGCCAGAGGGCTGTGAAAATCTTGACGCAGTAGCTACTAGTATGGAAATGACGATAAAGTTTTTCAAAGCTACAACCTTGCTCCGAGAGCCTCTTGAGGTGCTATTGGGAGAATCCAAACCAGACTGCTTGGTGGCCGATATGTTCTTCCCTTGGGCCACTGATGCCGCAGCCAAATTTGGGATTCCCAGGCTGGTGTTTCATGGCACAAGTTTCTTCTCTTTGTGTGTATCAGCATGCTTGGTGCAATATCAGCCACACAAAAAAGTTTCATCCGATTCAGAACCATTTGTGGTGCCTAACCTTCCTGGTGATATTAAGTTGACAAGGAAGCAGCTTCCAGATTTTATACAACAAGAAGAAGAAACTGAATTTACCATGCTATCTAAAGAAATGCAACAAGTAGAGAGAAGGAGCTTCGGTACTCTGGTCAACAGCTTTTACGAGCTTGAGCCGGCTTATGCTGATCATTACAGGAAGGTTTTAGCTAGAAGGGCATGGCATATAGGCCCTGTTTCACTCTGCAATAGGAATGTTGAAGATAAAGCGTTGAGGGGAAAGCAAGCCTCCATTGATGAACACGAGTGCTTGAAGTGGCTAAATTCAAAGAAACCCAGTTCAGTTATTTATGTATGCTTTGGAAGTTTAGCCAACTTATGTTCTGCTCAGCTAAGGGAGATTTCACTGGGGCTCGAAGCTTCGGGGCAGCAATTCATATGGGTTGTGAGGAAAAACAAAAACGGACAGGAAGAAAAGGAAGACTGGTTGCCAGAAGGATTTGAAAAGAGAGTGGAAGGCAGAGGACTAATAATAAGAGGATGGGCACCCCAAGTGTTGATTCTTGATCACGAAGCAGTGGGAGGATTTGTGACACATTGTGGATGGAATTCAACTCTTGAAGGAGTAACTGCGGGGGTGCCTATGGTGACATGGCCAGTGTTTGCGGAGCAGTTTTACAATGAAAAGCTGGTGACTCAGGTTCTCAAGATTGGTACTGCAGTTGGTGTTCAGCAATGGTCTAGAGTTGGTGGTGATTTTGTCAAGAGGGAAGTGATAGAGAAGGCAGTGAAAGAGGTGATGGTGGGTGATAAGGCCGTTGAAATGAGGAGCAGAGCCAAGGCACTCGGGCAGATGGCAAAGAGGGCTGTTGAGGAAAGGGGTTCATCTTACTCTGATTTGAATGCTTTTATTGAAGAACTGAGTTTGCAACGCTGTTTGAAGGGAAGAAACTAGAGTTAGAATATCATATAGCATGTAATTGTTTTTAGTTCTTGTTAATCAGTGTGTTCTTTGTGGTTGACAAGTAAAATACGCAATGTACTAGTTGAAATGTTATGTAGAATTGTCTCTTTCTTAATCTTGCGTAAGTGAGAGCACTACAAAAGCTTTAATTGCGAACTACTTCTCCTTCTTTTGAATTCATTCGTCACCCAGTAGGCTGTTAGTGCAAGTCATAATCTTTATGACGAGTCATCAGTCATGTTCAAATTCAAATTGGTCCCGTCAGTGAGTAATCACCAAATCGATCCGAAAAAACGCAGAACTCAAGCTGTCAAATCAGCCTCAAAATTATTGAGTTCCCATCTAAACAGATTTGTTTACCTCCCGGCTTGGAAAATCTTATCTTGTTAGTAACCTAGAAATTCACTGCAAATTCTTCGCTGCCATGTGTCAGACATTTTCTTTCCATGGACGAATGATTTAGCGTCCAAGTATGGGATTCCAAGACACACCTTTCATGGTACTAGTTTCTTTTGTAACTGTGCTATGGATATGGTAACAACATATGATCAGTCTAGAAGAATGTTTCTTCTGATTCTGAGCTTTCTATCTTGCCTGGTTACCACAAGAAGTCAAATTCAGAAAGAAACAACTACCAGATCATGTATTGGAAAGAATTGCCCATCGGTAACCATGAATGTCTGCAATGTCCTAAATTCCTAGAAACCCAATTCAGTTGTTTATGTATGTTTTCGAACAGCCTCAAACTTTTTAGATTCTTAGTTACGTGAAATTGCAGTTGGTCTTGAGGCTTCAAGGCAAGAGTTTTATTTGGGTTGTGAGAAATGAGAGGAGCAAAAAGGAAGATTGGTTACCAGAAGGATATGAAAAAAGAATGCGAGATAAAGGACTAATAATGAGAAGTTAATTAGAGATGCATTAAAAGATTGGGTTGGCGTTGTTGCTCAAGAATGCATTAGGTTAGTGGGTGATTATGTGAAGAGTGAAGCTATGAAGTATAGACAAGGTCGTGAGAGAGAGATAATGGTGGGTGATAGAGCAGAAGAAATGAGGAAGAGAGCCAAGGGCCTTGGTGAAATGGCTAGTAGAACTGTTAAAGAAGGGGGTTCGTCTATAATGATAAGGGTGCTTTAATTCAAGTATTGAGGTCTTATCGTTGTTAAACGCATATATATTGTCAATTATATGTTTATGATCAACTGATTTTGTTGTGTTTATGATTAATTAGCTGACGATAATGTATGATTTTCTTGTTCAATTTAGCTCTTGTAATCAAAACAATGAGTGAATATGAAAATACTCTTGTACTTGATGTGCCATTTTCATAAAATTTCTTGGTTATCATGGAGCAAAGTCTTGTGTTAGTAAATCAAATATTTGGCATCATTTACACCAATAAGAGATACTCAAGCCATGAAAATTACCAAGCGTATTCACTTTGCCTCCTCGCCAACCAATATGAAGCCCAAATGAGTTCATAGAAATTGGACGTAATGAGAAATCCACATATTTAGGTCAAAACTTGGGATATTTTAGTGAGAAGATAAATGGTGTTCAATGTTGTATTCTAATGAAAACTGGTTCATAGCAACTCTGGTCCAAATAAGCCCTTTTTACTTATTTGAAAAGCCCACTTTGAAATTTGAACAAATAGCATTCACCCCATGAACTTCTTGTCTCTTTCAACCAATCATTTAGTAAAGCCCTAGCCCTGAGGATTTTTTTTTGGTTAATGCGTGCAATAATCTGCATTCTTTGCAATCCTCTTAATGAAATTTGTTTTTATTCACTTGTAAACATTATAGACATGATATTTGACAATTTGAGAGATTAAAACACAATAGTAAGGTGGATGTGGGACTTCGGCATCAATACAACCCCTCGGGGGGCAAGAGGCTTGGGAGTGGCCTAGGCCCTCCTTCTAACGTCAATTATTGATGTATATTAGACCCAGACATATAGTAGGTGAATTTTCAAAAGTATTATCCGTTTTAGACCTTAGGGCCTGCGCGGTTTTATCTTGAAAAGGCTGCTTTGGGCCCTAAGACCTACACAGTTTTGTCCTGAAAAGGCGTCTATGGACAGTGAGAGTATCTTTGTGCTATATAATCAACCAAGACCCTTGTTTGTTTACCGATGTGATGCGGGTATCCTTATGCTATATAAGCGACTAAGACCCTCGTCTCCTAACTGATGTGGGACTTTGATACCAACACTTAGAAATTGTTTTTTGGGAGGGTTAAGTATACACAAAAAATATTAGGATTATGTTGCCTGAGAGAAAATCCACAAGTAAAAGAAGTACCAATTCGATATAATATATTTTATAGTTTAAAATATATTTTTATTTATAAAATGGAGAAAAATAAAGAAACCCAGATTAGAGTTGGGCATTTGGGATCAGGTCCAAAAACTTGGCCTAAAAACCCGATCCTAGTAGGCCTGGTCTCAAAACCAGACCAGGCCTAAGGAGGAGGGCTCGGTCCCTCCACTAGGCCCTCCTCCAAGACCTGGGCTTAGGACCGGTCCCAAGGCCAGGCCCAAACCCTTTTGGTTTATTTTTTTTTAGCCCCCTAGACAATTATATAAAACCCTCTATAAATTTTGAAATAGATAGAAATTGTAGAGGTTAAAATAAAAGTTTACAAAATTTAAAAAATTTACTTTTAAAACCATTGGTTGCTGCCCCTGCAAATTACTAATCTACCCCTAAAAATTACATAAACCCCCTTATAGAATTTTATTTGGCCCCTAAAATATAAAAAAAGATAAGGGAGAAAATAAAATTTTACAGACCCATAGGACTGGTCCAAACCTATGAGCGATTGGTCCCAAATAGAACCAATCCCAAAGAGACTAGTCCTAAACAAGCCTAGGCCCGGGCCGGCTTGGGATCGGTCATTGACGAGCTCTAACCCAGATGTGTATATTATCCTCAAATGTGTTCTCTTTTGAATAGGAGTTATTGACATACAAAAGTCAAAAGAGCCAATTAACTGTGGGCAATAAATAATACACCATATCTATTTTTGACAATATAACCACATTTGTGAAAGTAAGTTACTGTATATGTATAGAATTCTTTATAAATAAGATAATGCATGCACTTGGATAAGACAAACTTAATGAATATAATACTCATTCGAAACTGGAAAGTTATAACGCATGTTATATAATCATAATTATGCACAATTAATTTCTTAACCAAATCCTTAATCATTAATTCGAGATGACGAATTCCAAAATCCAAATCAATTTGATTCAAAATATGTGGACCGCGCGTACCTTTAATTGCCTTGTCATCCCATGTTACGAGGGTTGTGGAGAATAATAATACATAGGAGGAGAAAATGGAATTGGGCCATATTAATTAAAGACTTTAATCATTTGTTTAAGTAGTTATAACATTATGGAAACCTTGATTAAAAATAAAGCACTTTGTGCTTGGGAAAAGTTGTGTTAAAATTTTAAATAATAGAAAAGTTGGGAACACTTGAGCTTTTAATAAAGGTTGGTGATAATGCTTTAGCTCCGGAAATTAATTTTGGTTTTTGGGTTGTGGTTAATGTATAATATGCAAGGTGTTTTACAATTTGGCTTTTTGGTTATTATGGAATTTGCAAGGTGCTATAATTTAAGTGTTTGTTAAAAAGAATATTTGTAGTTTATTGTTGACAAAGACTCAAAGAGTGACATCCATAAACCGCAAAATACGGGGCTGATAGTGATTATTTTTCAACAATCTTCTCATCCTCTTTTGGTCTCCTCTCCCACCAACATTCACCCAAAAATTCCCAGAACTTTTTTATTTCAATCCTTAATCCAATTTTTTTCGAGTATCACATCTTTTACAAAAAGATAATTACACATAATGAAGATTAAGAGCCTGTTTAAAAATTTTAAAGCTAGCTAAAAAGAGTAACTTTCGTGTTTGATTATTATCATGTTTTGGAATGTCTCTAAAAATATTTTTATAAAAAAAGTTGGAATAATTTGATGTTTCCTAAGTGAATATCTCTATGTTTGCAAGCTAAATAAATAATACACCATTGGTTAAGATTGAAAAGTGATTAAATTATTCATAATACCTATTAATTTCTAAGATAATGTTGTATCATCTACAATGTAAAAGTTGAGATAGATATTCAAAAAGTTATTATAAACTATAATAAGTAAACCTATTATTTCTAAGAACAATACTTCACATATTTTCTCGCACAAATCCAATATAACACTCCCACCACACCCCTAGGCAACGTCAGCAGGGAGAAAAATTCATTAGAAATAAAAATCAATTGCAATGTTAGACTTATGAAAAAAAGTTTATTAATATGTGAGATTTGTTTCTCAACATATTTTTATTGGAATTTTACGGAAGAATTTTACAATAGACTTTCACATACTCCAAGGGTCGAAGCGAGTGAATGTTGCAAGGTCACTCATCCTTGTGAAATATGACTATGTTGTCGTTGACTTTACAAGTTAAAATATACGTGGAGTTCATTGTGATGGCAATGAAAGGGATAACACAATAACATATATCTCGTCTTCATGTATATATATTATAACCCTATGCTATTTTAGAGGAAAAGTTATAACTTGGACTCTATNTTCAATTTAGTAAAGTGGCAGACAGCTAATCTGCAAAAGAAATAGAAAATGGATTAAAAAAATGGGGGTTTGACCGTTTGACTTTAACTTTTTAAATTTTTTTCACATTTTTAAATTTTATTTAGTGGACCGGATTTGTTTCTTAAACCGGTTGGACCGTCGGTTTGCTACAGTAAGACGGTCCAACCGCGGTTTAAAACGGTCTAACTTAAAAATCCGGGTTTTTACTTTTTTAAACCGGAAATCTCAGCGAAACCCGGTCGGACCGGTTCGACCGCCCGGTCTGGTCCGAGTTTCAGAACATTGCATATTACAGTAAAACCTCTCTATAGTCATAACAGTGAGACTAACTAATTTTATTATTATGAGGAGGTTATAACTTAATGGAGGTGTAGTTACAAAGAATTATTGTTTTGATTTCTTGTTTTATAATTCATATGTTTTAGTAGTACAATATTAGGATTTCAATTCATATTTTAGTAGTATTAGAATTTTTAATTCAGCGCTTCAATTGCCTACTTTTGAAACGGATAAAAGATTGTGTCTTGGAACCAATAAAGATAAGTGTTATTAATGGAACTATAAATGCAGTTAATGCATGGTTAATTGATGTGAAGTTACAGACAATTGCCAATAGTTTTAAGCACTGCAAAATTAGGACCCCCAATGTCGATGAATTGTAAGATACAAATGAAGTGGATGAGGAGAAATAAAAGAGTCATTGCAGAATTGAGTAGTCAGATTCGACAACTTTACTACAACAATCGAATGGATATTAATGGCTTTCTCGATCATCCAAATGAGCAATAAATCGTGCATGCTTTAACAAAAGAAGAAATAATTGCTGTAATTAGACAAGAAGAGGAAAGAAATAATCCCGAGGATGATAGTATGGAAATACAAAAAGTTTTATGTCATAAAGCTCTAAACATGCTTAAGAAGCTAAAAATATTTTGGCTTCAACAAGAAAGTGTTCATATAGTGAGTTATTACATATTCGCAAGGTAAAAGATGTAGTAACAACTCTAATGTATAAATCATTTTCTGAAACAACTTTAAATAAATGTTTTATTTCATCTTAAACCTTTAATGTAATATAACATATTTTTTTTTTGTAATATACAAATAATTATTACTATGTAGAGACAACTTTCCTTAAGGCAGGAATTAGAAAAATTATAACTTATTACAATATAGAGTTTATTCTTATTTATAATTATCCTAAATTGAGACAAAATTTTTTTATGATTATATTGAATTTATTCTTATATAGATTATTTTACTTTATTTCTAAGAACAATACTTCACATATTTTCTCGCATAAATCAAGTATAATACTCCCACCACACCCCTAGGCAACGTTAGCAGGGAGAAAAAATCATTAGAAATAAAAATCAATTGCCATGTTAGACTTGTGAAAAAAAGTTTATTAATATGTGAGCTTTGTTTGCCAACGTATTTTTATTGGTATTTTACGGAAGAATTCTACAATAGACTTTCACATACTCCAAGGGTCGAAGTGAGTGAATGTTGCAAGGTCACTCATCCTTGTGAAATATGACTATGTTGTCGTTGACTTTACAAGTTAACATATATGTGGGGTTCATTGTGATGGCAGTGAGGTGAAAGGGATAACACAACAACATATATCTCTTCTTCATATATATATATATATTATAACCCTATGCTATTTTAGAGGAAAAGTTATAACTTGGACTCTATTGTGTTTAAACAAAACTCCATCCTTTAATCGATAACATTACCAACTTTCACGAAGGAGTACTTAGGTAATCTGAAATCTTCTTGCTTTCCATACTGTTCCAATATCTTTCATTATATCCCCATATCCATCCATTAATTAATAATTTAATATTCACCTAATTTCCATACTGTTCCAACATCTTTCATTGTATCCAGCCTCCTCCATAATTTCACTTTAAATCATATACTATATGTTTGTCCTTATGTTCACATAATCATTTAATTTAATAACTTGTGAATCTCCTAAATAAATGGGATAGAATTTTATCTATAATAATAATTAAAAAAAAAAAAAAAGAATTTGTCCCACTATTTACACAAAAATTCCAGGGGCCCCCCACATGTCCATTCTTTAACATCACCTCCATCCCTTTCACCCTTCCTCCTTGGTCTTGGTGTAGTTTTCTCAATCTCCTCCGTGATTCCTCTCTGTCCTCTCACTCTTCATTTCCACAAAATTAAAAAAACTAATCACTCTCACTCTTCTTCGTTTTCAACATCGATCAATCATGAAGAGCAACACGAACACGAAGCTGATTCTCCTCCACCCTTCCATCCATAAACCCTCCTCCGCTCACCACCACCGCTTTTACCTTCTCTTCTTCATCGCTTTCTTCACCTTAGTCTTCACTCTCACTTTCTTCACCACCGCCATCAACCCCGCCGCCTCCACCAATACATTGACGTCTGCCACGAGCTCCGGCAGCCTTCCGTCAACCATCACCACCGCCCTCCTCCACTACACCTCCACCTCTAACTCCACCATGTCTCCAGCCGAGCTTACCTCCATTGCCAACACGCTCTCAACCTGTTCTCCCTCTTGTAACTTCCTCATTTTCGGTCTCACCCACGAGTCCCTCCTCTGGAAGTCTCTAAACTTCCAAGGCCACACGATCTTTCTCGACGAAAGCGAGTTCTTAGTCCAATCTTTTGAGAAAAACCATCCGGATGTCGAGATTTACGATGTTCAATATGTCACCAAGGTCAAGGAAATGAGACAACTTTTGTCGTTTGCGAGAGGTCATGTGAGAGACGAGTGCAGGCCAGTTCAAAATCTTCTATTTTCTGACTGCAAATTGGGAATCAACGACATGCCGAATCATCTATATGACATCGATTGGGATGTAATTTTAGTGGATGGTCCACGTGGCTACAACTCGGCCGCTCCAGGGAGGATGGCTCCGATATATTCGGCGGCTGTAATGGCGAGAAGCAGGAGGGGAAAGGAGAAGAGGACGCATGTGTTTGTGCATGACTTTGATAGGGAAGTTGAGAAAGTTTACAGTGAAGAGTTCTTGTGTACAGAGAACTTGGTGGAGACTGTGGATTTATTGGGGCATTTTGTACTCGAGAAAATGGAGGAGAACAAGTTTGAGTTTTGCAGAAATTCAACATCGTCGTCATTACCATCATCATCAGAAGATGGCGATGATGATGATGAATGATTTAGATGAGAACTGAGATTATAATTGTATAATTACATACTTAATTTACCTTTTCTTTTTGCTTTTTTAATATAAGAGGTTAATTCAAGTGTAACTGTACATGTCTAAATTTTCATGTTTTGAAATTTAAAATTTGAATCTTTAAGAGACCCAAGTAAATATTTGAACAAAATCCCAAAAAAATCCAGAATCAAAGATTAAAAAATTCCTCATTTACTTTGGATCTTCTCAGCTACCAAACACGGTTTCGGTGACGGTAACGCTAGATGAGGATGGTTGTTAGAGAAGCATGAACTGAAATGAACATGCGGTAACTTGTGCATATCTTTCAAATTTTCTAAGATTTCGAATCTGGGGAACTGTTTATGGGTTTTCTGTACGCGCTTCAAAGCGTATGTAAAAAGACGCGTTCTGTTATTGGAATTGAAGCGCGTTTGTAGATGAAGAAGATTCTTAGAAGTAGTGGGATTGGTGAGTGGAGAGAAGATCATGCGAGGCAGGGTCGGGAAGGATTTTGTTTGGACATATTTAAATCCGGCTTTAATTTATGTTCACGTGATCCACGTGAGTAAAAAGCGTACGTTTCGCCGTTTCGGCCAGGGAGGGGAAAAGCTCTGTTTCACCTGTCGGTGCCTTTCATTTTCAAGTGTTGATGCAACAGTCTCTTTTGAGAAATATCACATTTAATTTAACCCCCCTTTATTTATTATTATTATTTTTTTTTTAAAGATAAAGAAGTTCTGTTCTGACGGAGTGCCTCTTGCCACTTGGAGCTTTTGGTTGGAGGATCGTTATCGTATTCTACGTATGTTCAATGTTGAATAACAATTTATGTAGAAGTCTTGGGGTCTTTTCGGAGTTTTTTTTTTTTTTTTTTTTCACCGGTTTTAATGGATTTTTAATTAAACTATTTTTGAGGTATTTAAAAAATATTATTTGTTTGATTTTTATGTACTAGTTTTAACGGGTTCAAAAACCTATCCACTACAAAATCATCTCAATTATATTAAAAAAAAAATTTAACTATATTATGCTCGTCTCCAACTATATTAAATATAAAATAATTTTAGACAATTATAAAAAAATTATTAAAATCTCATTTCTAGATGGTTTTTTAGAGAATTAGGACTACAATTTTTCAATCATTCCAGATGCTGCAAAAAAAATGGTAAAGAAGTATAAAAGACTTTATTAAATCTGAAGTTACAAAATGCTAATAAATAAAAAACAAATAAAGAACCGTTACCTTGTAATTGAAAAAATAAAACTCTAAATTGGGGTATTTTTATGGATATATATGTAAATTTATTATTTTAAAAAATTATTAAAACCACTAGAAATTAAACTTTCAAATACAGATTGGATGTTTTAAAAACTATTACTAAAAATTTCTTAAAACTATTACAATAATTTACCCTCAAAATTACTACAATAGTTTAATCTCATAAACGCTATCATCAAACTCCTAAGGGACTCCTAAGGGATTTAATGAACCAGGCTGTATAATGTGAATGATGTTCTTGGAATTTATAGGAACAGGCTGATTCAATCAGGTTTCTGTAAGGATACGATAGAGACGCTGCAACTACTTTTGATTACTGATTTTTACACTTTGTAATAAGAAAATGACAAAAACAACCCATGTAATGTAATAAATAAGAATTATGTACTAGGAAGGACAACAGTGGACATTAAGGCCCTTTGTTTCAATATTATACCTCTATCTTATTCAAAAAAAAAAAAAAAAAAAAACAACTAATAGATTGCCAATTTGGGGGATATGGGCTTCGAGGGCATCGGGGAAGCCAATGCAAGCTCTACAGAGGCTATTGTGGTAGGTTCCATGAGGCTGGAAGGCTGAGGATGACAGGAAGTCGCAGAATAGGGGGGCTAGAGGGCTGCCCTGCAATATGCAAGACAACCCTCCAGCCCCTCTATTTCGCCACCTCCTACCATCCCCATCCCTCCAACCTCCCTACAGCCTCCCTTGCCTTCCCCCATCCTTTGGAATCCAAACAAAGCCACTCCCCCATGCCCGCCAATTGCTCGACAAAACGCAACAACAACCATAACAATAAAACCAACTACATAGCCTCCAAATTTGTACAAATCAATCAAATTTCTCTTCAAATTCAAAACAACAAGTAAGAAACGTACCATTTATTCACCGGCGTCCTCCTCTTCAGAACCATTTTCTGATTCTTCTCTCTATTCTTGTGCCGTCGTTGTCTCCTCTGCCTTTGGACCACCTTGACTCATTGGATGATCCACCAGAGCATCTTCTTCGACAACCTTTGACTAGGATTTGGAGTGGGGTTGAGTTTTCCTCATTTTTGTGAATATCAGCTATTATTTTGTGTAAGGAAGCTTTATGATCAAATATTTTTTGAAAATAGGGCACTTTCGTCGCTAGAAATCGCTGAGAAATCAAAAATATTTGTTGGTCGTTTTTTAGGTATTTGGCTTGATTAAGCGATTTTGAAGGGTGGGGGTCGTTTTTAATTTTTAAAATTTGAACAAACTTCCGTTAATTATAATGTTACCTACATATGTTAAATCTTTTCAGTTTAACTCGTTTTACATGTTTAATGAATCCTAAGTGTGCCACATCAATTTTTCTAAATTAAAAAAATTGCAAAATATTTTCAAGGTCATTTTTTTAAATGCAAACTTGGGAGCTTTGGCTAGTTAAATTTCCTCGGATGCTCTGGTCCATTGTTTAGAAGTAAAATCTTTACGTGTTTGATTTCATGAGATTGTTTTATTAGGCCTTTGCTGAACACATTGTATATTCTCATTTGAATTCCAAGTTTGACATTGACTGGGAGGATGAATCACTACTAGAAAAATTCCCTTTCTTGACAGAATGAGTTGACAGTTTTTCTTGACCGATTAAAAAAGGGTCAAGAATTGTAATTCTTGATAGATTCTTAACGGTTTTGGATAATTCTTGACAATTATTAACTGTCAAGGATTTGATCAAAAATAAATTGTACAATTTTTTTCTTGGTAGTTGTAGTCTCATTCCTTTTCAGTTTTTAATTGTTAAGGATTAAGGTTAAAAAAACAAGAAAAAAAATTACTAAGGCAAAAGTTTCCCACCTCTCAAGAGTCAAAAGTTTCACTAATGCAAAATTTCCCACCCATTTCACTATTTTTTTCATGAAGTGAAAGGTTGAAGGTTATAAAATATTAAAATATCTTCTGCCCAAAAACCAGAAAAATTTCCTTCTCTTCCGCCCAAAATCTCTTTTTCTCGCTCTTCCACTGAATCGCAGAATCTCTCTGTAACGTTGATTCATTCTAAATCCAACTTCACAGCTCAAGGTGATTATTGTTGTCAATAATATTTTCAATTTAGGGTTTTAACTTTGAATAATACTATGTGCACTAACAAAAAACCATAGAACCTAAGTACTAACTGACGTGACAAATCTCTTTTATTGCCACGTCAGTCCCCCAAAAACTAAAAATTTTTTTTTTCAAAATTTCAATTGTTAGTACTTGGATGAGTACAATTTGGTTAATACACATAGCACTCGTAGAAGAATTTCTTAAAATGCTATTAAAGATGAGGATGATTTCTGTTCCCTTTGTTGTTTAGAAACATGCTGATTTTGCAACCACAGGAATGTTATTAGCCAAGCGCTGTATTCATGCTACAGGTTTTTATTGTATTTCTTAACCATTTTTTCTTGGTGAGCATTCTATATTTGTTTGGTTCTTATTGTTCTATTGTAATGTATTTTCAAGGAACTTGCTACTCCAATCAGTGAGACTGCTACGAATAGAGATGGGCGTTTGCCCCAGCCTCGCGGGGATCCGTCTCGACCCGGCTCGAATGGGCCGGGGAATCCCCGAAAAAAACGGGGATAGGGCCGGGGATGGTCCTTAGTAAGATCCCCGCATCTGGGGACGGGCCGAGGAAGGGGATAGTGCAATCCCCGGCCCGGCCCACCCCGGACCCATGGAGCCCACCCGCCCGGCTTTTTTGAGAATTTTATTTTTATTTTTATTTTTTTAGTTTCCTTTACGAGATTGTATATAAAGTTAAAGTTTAAATCATGATTTTAAGTAATGTATCAAAAACTTATGATATTTACTTTTATAATATTTTCTAATGTTTGTATTAAATTTATAGAAAAATAATTTAAATAAGAGAGTCTAATAATTAAATATATGTATTATTACTTTGTGAATTTCACAAAATAATAATACATAGGACATGGCCCAAAAATAAATTTAAAATTCAGCCTGAAGGATGTTTATATTATTACAAGGCAACATGAAAGATGTATTATTACAATGTAACCTGAAGGATGTTTATATTTTATTGCTTTGAAATCCATGAATATGTTCCAATTTTTGCCAAGAAATTTTTGTTATTCACCATATTCAATTATTCATATCAATTTTCAGCGAAATTTTCTTTCAGGTATTTATTTTATGAATTTTAGGATATGAGACTATTTTAGTGGAACATTACAATGCGGCAATGCCTCAGCAACATAAAACATCAGAATGTAGAATCTGAATTCCTCTATTTAATACTATATAGAAAATGTGTTACTAACTTAGTAACAATTAATTTAGTTTATGGTAGTAGTTATGTATTGCTTTTTAAATCTTAATTTAAATTTTACAAGAAATTGTTAGAATTCATATTTTCTTACTTTAAATTTTGCATTTTTAATGAATTAACTACTAAAATTAAATAGTCAAATATAATACATATCAACGTGCTAGTTTTTCACAATTAAAATAATTAAATATTATTGTTACGGAAAGTTTTGATTTACACGAGGCAAAAATCCCCGCAGGGAGAAATTCCCCGTGAAGCCCCGTTCATCGAGCCGGGCGGAGACGGGGATGGAAGGGATTTTGTCCCCACGAGCCGGGGATGGTCATGGGAGGGGGTAACGGGGTCGGGGCCGGGCCATGGGATCCCCAGCCCGCGCCCATCCCTAACTACGAAGTTCTTGGTGTTCCTAAAAATGCGAGCCAGGATGAGATAAAAAAGGCGTTTCATGCCGTGAGTATTTGAGCACTTAATATGCTTTTAAGTTAGGGAATTACATTTTAATCATGATCATAGGAAACCCCTAGTGTAGTGTAAAACATCTTCTGATGGATTGTTCTTTCTTTTCTGGCATCTTGCAATCACTATTAGCTGTTCTTTATGGGGTCAATGGCTTAATTTTTCCTTAGCTTTTTAAAATAGGTGGCCTTAGTGTTTGGGTGAAAACTATGTGGGCTATTTTTACTTTTAGGGGGCGTTTGGTTGGCGGTAATGTCAGATTATTGGGGTAATGTTATCTTATGTTACTTGATTACCACGTTTGGTTGTCAAGTAATATAAGATTCCGGTATTCTTCAAATACCAATAGTAGTTACTATTGGTAATATTGGAGGTAATCTGATTACCTCCATTTTCTTAGGTATTCTGAGATTACCAGGGTTATCTTTTTTTGTTACAATTTTATCCCTTATTAATAAAAATTTTGGACAATAATGCCCTCATTTTAAAATAAATTTACATTAATATCCTATTTCAATTTTACCCATTGTTTAACTAAAATTTTGGACAATAATGTCCTTATATTTAAAACAATTTACAAACCACCACTGCCACTCAGCCACCACCACCACTGCCGCCCAGCTACCACCGCCGATAGTGGCCAACCACCACGGACCGCCATTGAAAACTCGTCGGAGTCCCTATAAAAGAACGAGTTTCGGTGAGAGGCTCCGGGAGGATTCGCTATGGCCGTTTTTGGCCATCAATATGGCTGAAAACGGCCATATCGAAGCCTCTTGGTCACGGTGAGTTGCTGATGGGGACTTTCGGAGACCTCCGGCGGTGGTCTATGGTGGCGGCAGGAGGTGGGGGTGATTTCATAATAAATTAAAGTTTTATATAAGCAGGGGTGTTTTAACTAAATCTGAAATATTGGAGGTTAAAAGAAATTATTCAAAAATTAATAATAAAAATAATATTATATTAATATTTGTAAAGGGGACAATTTAGTAATTTAAATAACATATCCAACAATTTATTCCCCATAACCAACCATATTAATATAACATACCCACCAACTAACCAAACACATTTTCTTAAAGATTTCCAGTAATCTTCCAAGGTAATCTATCTTTCTAGTAATCCAACATTCCCAGTAATCTAACATTTCTGAACCAAACGCCCCCTTAGGAATAGTTTTGCTTGTGGGATCCTTAATGGAACTTGGAAAGTTACACCGGAGATGCATCTAATTTTACTAGTACTATGAATCTAGGGATATTTGAGGTTGGCAGCGTTGCCAGATATTTTTCTACCACTTATGCCATTGGGAAATCATGTCTGCAATTGGTTTAATGTGATTATCCATCATCTAACAGACCTTTTATTTTTATGGTTATTGTCTAAGATGTTGGAATCCACAAAATTGTGCAGCTTGCCAAGAAGTATCATCCAGATGCAAATGAGAATAATCCTTTTGAAAAGAGTAGATTTCAAGAGAAAAGAGATGCTTGTGAGGTTTGTAGCTTTGGTTGGATTGTGAAGTATAATAATAATAATAATTATTTTTATTTTCTGATGCGATTTAGTCTGATAGTTGTACTTTCTCTGTCCATTAGCATCATGATTGTTAACTTTTGTTCTTCCTACTAAAAATATAACTGATCTTGTTCTGACATGGTCCAACGAGCCCCAATTCTCTTTATGATGATTTGCTCATTCTGGTATATTGCAGACTCTGCGAGATTCTAAGAAGAGGGCTCAGTATGACATGGTAACTACTCTTTTTCTTCTTTCTCCCTCTCTTTCTTTTCATTTACTTATGTATTCTTTCACTTCTAGTTTGTGATTCTATAGTCATTAGGTATCTTTGGTCTGTCTTTAATATTGTTCGGTGTTTTTACAGGAGGCACTTAACTTTTACATATTAAAGATTTCAAAATGTATGCATTTTGATTCTTGTGTCACACTAAAGGTTTTCAAATTAACTGAATCATTTTTTTTTTTTATCCTTATGATTAATGGAAGGGTGAAGTAGAGGCTCGGAGAATGTAGACTATAATACTGGTGGTGCAGAGGGGTTTAGATATGCTTATCAAACTCATTTCTCTGGTTCTTTCCATAAAATATTCTTTGAGGTACTTCTCCTCTCCTGTTTTCACGTTTTCATCTTAATGTAGTCTAATAACCTAAACTGATAATATTGAATTTAGGAGAAAGTGGATGGACATCAAAAAACAGTTTCATATCAAGAATCACCAATAATGTCTACTTATTTGGTGGCAGTTGTTATTGGTTTGTTTGATTATGTGGAAGATCACACATCGGATGGTATGGTTATACCATGTTCTGTTGACTTTTCTTCCATATTTCATGGTAATTCCTACAAGAAAAGTATATGTTCTGTTGACTATTTGGTGTACTATAAGAAAAAATATTTTTGAAATATTAAGCTTGGATTAAATGTGATAGTCAACTTAAAACTAAAATTGATATATTTGGTAGTAATTTATGAAGTTTGGCAGTAAAAAACACTAGGACATTTAGTGAGAAATATGGAATGAGATCTGTTAGTTGTCTCTAATATGATCTGATTTCCATGTTACTAATTTGATTGTATTTGCAATGGAATAACTTATGTTAATTACATAAAGTAGCGTTACTGAATATTGTTTCGTTTCTAATTTACGGGTGTCAAATTCAATAATACTATCACAGGTCTAATAATTTTATGATCTCAGGTGCTACCTATTTTCCCTCGCCTTGTTGACCTTCCATTTGAGAAGTTCCAGATGGCACTTGCTCACATACTACAGGTGTGCATGGATTCTCTTAGAAATGATACAGAAATTGAACATTCATTAAAAGAAATTCGCAATTTAACAAAGCACCTATTTTAAAATGCAGCAAACTTAAATGGTTTACACGATATAATTTATATAGCCTTGTTCTGTCATATATAGATGTAGAACTTCATAATTTATTAATCAATTCCATAGTACGTACTAAACATTTTCATCTTCTCTTGAACTAACTAAGCCTTATTTTGCAGACTAATCAAATGAATGAAGAAACAAGATCAATTTAATTTTGATAGAAAGCCACCATCTACCACCAACTCATGCCCACTCACAAATTCTGAATCGTCAGATGCAAGAAACGACACAGCATCTGCAATATGCTTCGTCTTAATCACAATCCCTTTCAAGCATGGATTTGGCTCATACATCCTCTCGACTTCCTCAGCTTCCATACTAAGCCACCTGCACAAACCCGGCGTCGCCACGCCACACGGTGAGACGCAGTTCACTCTAATTCCATGAGCTCCTAGCTGCGTGCTTGCCGATCTAACCAATCCTATCACAGCATGCTTTGACATGTAATAGTCAGTCATCCAATAACCGCCACGGCTCCCTGTCACACTCGCCGTGCACACAATGCTCCCCTTCATTCTCCTCTCAACCATTGCGCGCGCCGCATGTTTTAACGCATGCAGCCATGCCACGGACGTTGATGGCAAAGAGGTGGTCGAAAGCTGATAAGTCGAGATCGAGAACTGTCTGAGGAGGCTTACTGTTTAGAATCCGGGCATTACTGAACATGATGTCTAGTTGGCCATAGTTTTGGAGGGTTGAGTCAACCAATGCTTTGACTTGATCCTCGTTTGTGACATCGCAGTGCACGTAAATGCAATTGTCGGTGCCAATTGAAGTGGCTAGTTGTTGGCCAAGATCATCTTGGATGTCGGCGATCACGATCGCACGAGCACCGTGGTGGGCGAAAACACGAGCTGTGGCCTCTTCGTATTAAGAAGAAAGTATGCTGGGTTATTTTGCAAAGATTAGAAGTCAGATGGCTTGAATTTCAATTAAGCAAAATGTAATACACTGTCGTTTTATACAATGTAACAAACTATAAATATGTTTGTTTTCTGTTAAAGATTCAGTTAATAAAAATCAATGAATTCCAGAATATTCATCTTTCTTCTCAGCTCTGTTTTTCGTTTCTCTTGGTTTCTTTAATTTTCTTGATTCTTCATCTCAATACTGAATTTCTACATGGTATCAGAGCCCTAGACAAGCGTCTATGGTTAATCTTAACTTTGACTCTTCAAGTTTGAATTCACAATCAACCGATATGGATAATGTTAACACCAACTTTACTACCTCAAACACTACACCCTCTTTACCAACAATTTCGGTGAAATTGTTGGAGAAAAACTACTCATTTTGGCATTCGCAGATCCTACCAGCTCTGGTCTCTCATGGAATCGATGATTTTGTTACCGGAGAAAGAATTTGTCCTCCTCCATTTGTGTTCGATAAAGCTGATGAATCTGGGCAAACTATCAAGAAGTCAAACCCTAACTATTCCTCTTGGAAAAAGATCGATCAATTCCTGGTGAGTTGGTTGTATTCTACACTTTCAGAATCAATGTTTCGTCATGTTGCTAAATGTAGCACTGCTTATGAGATTTGGAGTACTTTAGAGCTTCATTTTCAATCTGTTTCTAGAGCTAGGACTCTGCATCTTAGAAATTTGTTGCAATGCACTAAGAAAGAAAATTGTACTGTTAGTGAATATGTGTTGAAAAAGAAGGAGTTGGGAGATGAACTGATAGCTAATGGTGTGAATATAACTGATAAGGAGTTGTTACTTTATATACTGGATGGCTTAGGGCCAGAATATGACGCAGTAGTGGCCAATTTGACCTCCACTAGTAGTCAAACGACACTACAAGAGGCTCAATTTTTATTGCATAAACATGAAATTAGGCTTGAAAGGCAACATAATGTGTTCTCTAACTTTCATGAAGCTCTTCTGGTGTCCAAACAGCATAGTCAAGCTGATCCTTTTTCAGGTCCTCATCATGTCAATCCTACCTTAACTCCAAACTCTCAGCCTCAAATACACTCCCAGCCTCAATCATCTCTCTCACAATTCAATCCTAATACTTGTTAGTTTACTGGAAACAATATGATTCAAGGCTTTTCCAGATCAGGCTTTGGTCTGCCACATCAACAATCACTCTCTCAGTTTCCAGTGACAAGTGAAGGCTTTAATCCTTTTAATTAGTACCAGGTTTACAACTCACAACTAGTGTGTAATAAGGGACGAGGAAGGGGTTATTTTAGACCCAAACTGATCTGTCAAGTCTGTGGTAAAGGTGGACATTCTGCCCTGCAGTGTTACCACAGATTTGATCATACTTACCAATACCAAAGTTTTGGAGTTGCTGGAGTCGATTCATCTACTAATTCTCTTGGCTATAATGTTGAATCTGGTTCTCAAAGATCTTCCCACTTCAATGCCTCCCAAAGCCTAGCTCAGATTCCTCAATCAAACAACTCAGCACAAGCACTTCTAATGACAAAGACTACTATGGTAGATCAGTTATACAACAAGTCAGCCTCTACTTCTTACAATGGTTCTGGATTTTCTGGAGTTTATCACTAGAATAACAGTTACCCTCCTCCACAAAATTTGACCTCTCAAGTGTTTTCACCCACAGTTGGATCCTCTAGTGTTACTACTTTACCTGAAGGAAGTTAGTCTTATTTGTCCTCTGCACATAATTCTCATAGTATACCCATTGCCAATCCTCATACAGTTATGGATCAAATCTGGTATGTTGATTTTGGAGCAACTAACCACATGACAGCAGATATGAGTAACCTGGTTATCAAGGACAATTATCAAGGTGGCTCCATAGTTCAAGTGGGCAATGGACAAACAATTCCAGTCTCCCAAACAGGTGTGTCCTTTCTCAACTCACAAAATTCTCCTAGGATCTTGCATCTCAAGAATGTGTTGTGTGTACCACATATAGCAAAAAATTTGTTAAGTATATCACAAATTACTAAAGACAATGGAGTTATTGTTGAATTTCACTCTGACCGTTGTCTTGTAAAGGATAAGTGCACTCAAGAGGTACTGTTGCAAGGCTTCTTGAAGGATGGTCTGTATCAGCTGAAATGTTCTTGCTCATCTGTGGCCTCTTCTATTGGAGGTGCTTTTGGTTCTAAAGCTTTTTGTCATGTTGCTACTGTCACCAATACAAGTACTAGTATTAGTAGCAGTGATGATAAGACACGTCATGTTCCAGATTGTTTCAGTCTTACACCAATTGTTAGTAACTCAAATAAAGAGAGTGTATCTCAAATAAGCAAGTCTGATGTACTGTTGACATCATTGTGGCATGCTCGGTTGAGGCATCCACAAGTTAAAACTCTCAAGGATATTATGAATAAAATTTATGTACATGGTTGTTTTGATAATAAAATGTTTTGTGAAGCATGTCAATTCGGCAAAATGTCACAGACTTCTTTTCCCATTTCTGCATCCAAATCCATAAGACCTCTTGAGTTGGTGTATTCAGATTTATGGGGCCCTGCTCCAATTTGCTCTTTCGAAGGTTTTAAATATTATATATTATTTGTGGATGACTATAGTAGATACATGTGGATATATCCACTTAAGCTTAAATCTGAGACATTCAAAGTTTTTACACATTTTCATAAGTTTGTTGACAATCAGCTGGATGTTAAACTCAAGACTCTGCAAACTGACTGGGGAGGTGAATTCAGGTCTTTTACTGAATATTTAAAAGAGCATGGCATTGGTTTTAGACATCCATGCCCTTATCTACATCAGCAAAATAGTAGAGTTGAAAGCCGACATAGAACAATCACCGAATTTGGATTAACATTGCTAGCACATGCTAGTATGCCTTTGTGTTTCTGGTGGGGCCTTCTGTATAGCCGTATACATTGTTAACAAACTTCCTTCATCTGTTCTTCAGGATCTCTCTCCTTACCAACAATTGTTTCAGCAAGAACCAAAGTACGGTGAGCTAAAGGTATTTGGTTGTTCATGTTACCCTTACATGAGACCATATTAGAAGCAGAAATTCTCCTATCACATTGAAAAATGTGTCTTTATAGGTTATAGTCTTGCACATAAAGGGTATAAGTGCCTTTCCTCCACAGGAAAGGTTTACATAGTGAAACAAGCAAAGTTTGATCAGACTGTTTTTCCACTTAAGCTTGGTTTCAAATGTTATCTCATTAAGGATGAAACTGCAGGGGGGCTCAATTCTTAGACTAATACAGATAGTTTTTTGTCCTCATGGAATCTTGGTCATTGCTTGAACAAAAGTAATGTTTCTTCTGTTACTATGGTAGCATCGTCTGACACTACTGCTGTAGTCCAAACTGCTCCTCCTTTTAGTTCTACAACAGATGTTCATACTACTGATATAGTTAAGCCTACTCCTCTTTTTAATTCTACAGCAGATGTTCATGCTATTGATACAGTTCAGCCTATTCATACTACTGATGCAGTTCAGCCTATTCCTCTTTTTAATTCTACAGCAGATGTTCATGATACTGATGCAGTTCAGCCTATTTCTCCTGTTAGTTCTACAGCAGATGTTTATGGTAATTCATTACTGTTTTTCAGCTCATCTAATGATACAGCTACTGATGCAGTTCAAACAAATGTATATGAAGCTACTGATGCAGCTCAGATTACTCTAGGGTCAGTAATTCTGGATTCTGCTACTATCTCTCCATTAGAAGAACCATCTGTTTTCATTGATCAACTGGAACCTTCTTTCAATCAGCATTATAATGCACATCCAAATCAACTGGAACCTTTTTTCAATCAGCATTATAATGCACATCCAATGCTTACTCGATCAAAAACCCATACCTTTTCGAAGCCTGCTAAGTCACAATCTCAAGGCTGTTCTGGATGTGCATATCTCTCTACTTTGTGTGTTCTAGCTGAACCAAAAATTGTCTCAGAAGCTCTGCGAATTACAGAATGGAAGGTAGCAATGAATGATGAGTTTTCAGCTCTGGTGCGAAACCAAACCTAGGAATTAGTTCCTTTCTCTTCCAATATGCATGTTGTAGGATGCAAATGGGTATTTAAAACCAAGCTGAAATCTGATGGCACTCTTAAAAAATACAAGGCACGATTAGTGGCTAAAGGCTTTCAACAAACCCCAGGTTTGGATTATTTCGATACATTTTCTCCAGTTATTAAACCTGCCACTATAAGGATCATATTCTCACTTGCTGTTCATAATGGTTGGGATATCCAACAAATTGACATTAACAATGCATTTTTGAATGGAGATCTTATAGAGACTGTGTTCATGTTTCAACCTAAAGGTTTTACTGATCTTCAACACCCCAAACATGTTTGTAAACTCAACAAGGCCCTCTATGGCCTAAAACAGGCGCCAAGAGCCTGGTTTGACAAGTTAAAGGCGGCTCTTACTGATTGGGGTTTTCTTGGTTTAGTTTTTGACACCAGCCTATTTTTCTTTAAAAAGGAGTCTCACATAGTGTATTTACTAGTGTATGTGAATGATATTCTCATTACTGGGAATGATTCTGCATTGATTACTCAAATAGTTACAGATTTAAATAACAAGTTTGCTTTGAAGACTTTAGG